TACTGGCTATTAGTAAAACACGGAGCACGGAGCACGGAGCACACGGAGCACGGAGCACACGGAGCACGGAGCACACGGAGTACGGAGCACACGGAGCACGGAGCACACGAAGTACGGAGCAGTAGAAAAACGAAAATCCTTTATAATAAAATACACTGTTTACTATTACAATTTTTTGTTATTATTAACAAAGTTTTTTTCACGTATTACACGTTGGGGAAGTAGGAAAATGGGGCTTTTACTGAAAAACACATATGATGCAAAACCAGGCTGCCAAAAGCCATAGTATTTAAAATGGGATTGTGAAACTCGTTATCTTACATCTATCAAGCTTATGTATAGTTATATTATATTCCGATGGGCAACACATAAAGAAACACTTACTGTAGAGAACAGCCGATATATTTCGTTACCCCTGCCAAAAAATAGCCAAGTATACTCATCTTTCAATGTAGCGGATCGACTGAACATTAAATCTTGTGATGAGAAAAGTGAATTTTCGGTTTATCCTTCGGCTCAGTGACCGGTGGCAGTGAGCTGTACGGCCGGCTAAGTTTAAACCGTTATACACTACATCATTACTGCTTTCATTCTTTCAATTCGTTTTGAATATTCGGAATCATTCACAATATTATAAAACTGTATAAGATAGCTGTAGAACTATAAATGCTGTAGAATGAAATAAATAAAAAAAAGTAAGTTTTCAAATCGCGGTATTTGCCGATAAATCGGTAATCGCTACAGAAAAACAGAACAAATTACAGTATTAACTAAATCACAACAAACCGCGGAAAGACATGTACTGTTTTACTGTAAGACATGTAGAACATGTACGAAATCCATACAGAAGTGTGTGTGTATTCTATACTTTTGAAACAACTAAATCAGACTTCGGAAAATTTGACAGTATTAAAGCTACTTTTGAGAATTTAGATTTTAGGTCTTTGTTTTACATGTACCCAGTAAATATTTTTGAGTTTTGAAGTTTGATTCCCACAAGCTTACAATTTGTTTACAATTTACTCTGCCTCTGCCGTGCTGCACGGCAGAGTTGATCGGAATTGTAACAAATACGCGTACACTTAAATGGCTTCCTGAATTTAGTCAATCAGATGTGTAAAAATTACTCGTTTCAATTTTATGTTTATGCTCGAAACTGCTCATGTTTACAATAGCAATTCTAACAATCTTGCCCTCCTTTTCGCCTTTGAGGCGTTGGTGTTGATTTATACACAAAATTCAAAACTCAAAAATATTTACTGGTCTGGGTACATGTAAAACGAAGACCTAAAATCTAAATTCCCAAAAGCAGCTATACGGTCAAATTTTCCGAAGTCTGATTTAGTTGTTTCAAAAGTATAGAATATACACACACTTCTGTATGGATTTCGTACATGTTCTACATGTCTTACAGTAAAAATACAAAAATTGTCCCACTTCCGCGGTTTGTTGTGATTTTAATACTGTAATTTGTTCTGTTTTTCTGTAGCGATTACCGATTTATCGGCAAATACCGCGATTTGAAAACTTACTTTTCTTTATTTATTTCATTCTACAGCATTTATAGTTCTACAGCTATCTTATACAGTTTTATAATATTGTGAATGATTCCGAATATTCAAAACGACTGATTGAAAGAATGAAAGCAGTAATGATGTACTGTATAACGGTTTAAACTTAGCCGGCCGTACAACTCACTGCCACCGGTCACTGAGCCGAAGGATAAACCGAAACTTTTCTCATCACAAGATTTAATGTTCAGTCGATCCGCTACATTGAAAGATGAGTATACTTGGCTATTTTTTGGCAGGGGTAACGAAATATATCGACTGTTCTCTACAGTAAGTGTTTCTTTATGTGTTGCCCATCGGAATATAATATAACTACATAAGCTTGATAGATGTAAGATAACGAGTTTCACAATCCCATTTTAAATACTATGGCTTTTGGCAGCCTGGTTTTGCATCATATGTGTTTTTCAGTAAAAGCCCCATTTTCCTACTTCCCCAACGTGTAATACGCGAAAAAACTTTGTTAATAATAACAAAAAATTGTAATAGTAAACAGTGTATTTTATTATAAAGGATTTTCGTTTTTCTACTGCTCCGTACTTCGTGTGCTCCGTGCTCCGTGTGCTCCGTACTCCGTGTGCTCCGTGCTCCGTGTGCTCCGTGCTCCGTGTGCTCCGTGCTCCGTGTTTTACTAATAGCCTCTCAATGCATCTTAGAAGTATACGTCACGCAATTTTCAAACAATGAGTTATTGACCCAAACGTATCCCACAATGCACTGTGCATTCCAGAAGTCGTCTGTATTAAAAATTGCGTGACGTAAGCACTTCTAAGGTCTATTAATAATAGAGCTAAAAAGCTCAGGCCAGTTTCAGACGGCGTATTCTTCATGTGCCGAACTTAATTGTATTAGATGCGACACAAGACTGGCAGTGATTCAAACGGAGTACCAAATACTATGTTATTGACAAGGTCGGGGCGCATTCGCCAGCGAAACCTCAATAAAATTCAAAATAAATAAGTTTATTTTTAGACTAAAGTTGAGTTAAGTTTGGCACACGAGTGGAGCGGCGTATGAATCAATGTCGCTCCAACGTCGCATAATGCGACAAGCTCTGCCGAACTTGTGTCGAACTTTTGCCGCTCCAAATTCTGCCGTACGTCGCTCTTTTGCCGTACCTAATTCATCAATTAAGTTCGGCACATGAGAAGTACGCCGTCTGAAACGGACCTCATTGTTTCCAGTAATGGAAACAAACCGGGCCTTTAGTTTTAAGCTCTTAAAGATTTTTATAATTTTAGCCTTACTTGATTGTAAGACTTATTCTACTAGACCTTATATTGTTCCTAAGGACTCTTACTCAAAGGATATCCATCGACTGAACGCTGATGGATTGTTATTTGGATTATTTTCATGTGAATATATACTGCCTGCTGCTGCTTGTGTTGTTATCAGGAGACTTAGTTAATTTGGAATCTCACTTTGCTGTGTCGTTTGTCCTAACCAAGCAGACTAAACATGGAACTACATGCTTGGCGCTTCCATCCAGGCCTTTTGTCATCGATCTTACGGTTCACGTTGACATATCACCGAATCCAGGACCAGATGCTCAGTGCAAATCAGAATACGGCAAATCAGATGACAAACTTTTGTCTTGTGCAACAGCAGCGGCATTACGCTCGATACGATATTCGCGAACAGATTTACTATCGCCAAAGTGGTTGGTCCACAATAGTCTGCCGTATATATCTACTACGTTTTCAAGAAGTTTCGAACAGTTTCAGATGAGTGGTATGAATTTAGGAAAGGGTCAAAGAAATCCTACAAGGCATCACCAGAAAATTACTAGCCACTCGGTTTTGAATACTAATGAGCATTGGACAAATGGGCAACAATACCCCATTCAAACAAGGATAACAACACAGTCACGAAATATATGTCCATATTATAAACGCCTTGAGCGGAATAACCTGATTAAAATCGCCTGTACGCGTATGGTCCCATCCTTTAAGCCAAGCTTAGCCACTCATTTTTGTCTACTAAATACAAGATCGCTTAAAAATAAAGGGGCACTTGTACATGATTACATCGTAGATCGCAAAGTGGATATTTTAGCTTTAACAGAAACTTGGCTCTCTCCTGGAAATGTCAATGAATTTGAAATAAACGAGACTACTCCAAATGGTTATGCATTTTTACACGTCCCAAGACATACTCGTGGTGGTGGAGTCGCTGTAGTTTATAGAAAGTCCCTGCATCTCAAGCAAAATCCTACATATGACAAGTTTAAATCATTTGAACATATGGACTTAACCGTGAAGTCCGCATCGAAATCTTTAAGAATTATTGTTATATATCGACCACCAACATAAAAAAACAATAATTTAACCGAATCCACCTTTTTTAGTGAATTCTCTACTTTACTTGAAGAACTTGTACCTTATTCTGGTAGTGGTAGTGTCCTTATCGCAGGAGACTTCAATTTCCATGTTAATGACTCAAGTAATGCATCTGCGAAGAAGTTCCTCAATTTATTGACATCATTTGACTACAGAAACCACGTACTTACTGCTACTCACAAAAAAGGCCACACACTGGATCTATTACTAACACGATCTGACGACAAATTTGTATCAAATATAGATGTCATTGACCCTGAAATCTCTGACCACTCGGCGGTGAACTGCAAACTTTTGCTTGCTAAACCACCTTCCGTAAGGAAACAAGTGAGTTTTAGAAACACAAAAGCGATTAATTTCGATTTGTTTCGTACCGACATAAAAAATTCTAGTCTGCTTAAAACACCCAATACATCTACGCTTGCCGAATCTTATCAAAACGTACTTTCTACATTGCTGGATACCTATGCACCTGTTAAAACCAAGACAGTAACACTACGTCCTGCTACTCCTTGGTATACACCTGAGATTCAAGAACAGAAAATCAGAAAGAGGCGCTTGGAACGTCGATGGAGAACTACCAAGCTTACAGTGGATAGAGAGGTGTACACCCAACAATGTACCGGGTGGCGCAAAAAAAAGTACAACTGTTTGATTACTTGTAACTCAGAAACAATAAGCAGTAGAACCATAAATCGAGTTTAATTGCATCCAGCGATATCTAACTTAAATTTTGGTATATTTGACAGGCATATTCGTCCAAGATTAACTGAGATATAAGAGTTTAAACTTTTGTTAACAATTTTGAAACGGTCACAAATTAGCTAAAAATCAGTTTAATAGGCCGTTTTTAGCTAATTTGTGACCGTTTCAAATTTGCTAACAAAAGTTTAAACACTCATATCTCAGTCAATCTTGGACGAAAATGCCTGTCGAATATACCAAAATTTAAGTTAGACATCGCTGGATGCAATGAAACTCGATTTTGGGTTCTACTGCTTATGGTCTTTGAGCTATATGTAATCAAACAGTTATACTTTTTTTTGCGCCACCCGGTATTGTTGTAAATAGGACTATCTCTGCAGCAAAAACCAACTACTACAAAGACATGATAAACGACTGTGGCTCGGACCAAGGAGAACTTTTCAAGAAAATAGATAGGATGTTTAAAATGCCAGTAGAAGGGAAATACCCATCATGTGCTTCATCTGAACAGCTTGCAAATAACTTTGCAGATTTTTTCGACAACAAGATAGATTCCATCAAAAAGGATTTGTCCACAAAATCTGCAAATCTATTATGTTCTCATATCATGGACACAACTTTATTATCAAAAGACACCAAACTTGAATCATTTGCGCCTACAACGACGGAGGATTTGCTTGTGCTCACACAAAAACTGGTTAAAAAATCATGCATACTTGACCCAATCCCAGCGAAGGTACTAATGGAATGTTATACTGATTTATTACCGGTTATCACTAAAATAACTAATATTTCACTGGAAACAGCCACTGTGCCAAACAATTTAAAATGTGCTGCTCTTGATCCAAGACTTAAGAAAGATAGTCTAAGCACTGACGAATTTTCAAGTTTCCGGCCTATTTCAAACCTTAAATTTGTATCAAAATGCATAGAGAAAGTGGTAGCAACTCAGTTGGATCAACATATCACAAGTAATAATTTGGACGAACCCATGCAATCTGCGTTCAAGAAACACCATAGTACCGAGACGGCATTAATAAAGGTTCAAAATGACATTCTACAAGCCATTGATAATCAAAATTCAGTGATTTTATTGCTGCTTGACATTTCTGCCGCCTTCGATACGATTGATCACGAAATATTATTGTCCAGGCTATCTTCTAGATATGGAATCACTGGAAAGGCTCATAAGTGGTTTGAATCATATCTTAATGAAAGAACATTTACGGTGCATGTCTCGGGTGGTCAATCCACTAAACGCACTCTACGATCTGGTGTTCCACAGGGTAGTATTTTGGGGCCAATGCTTTTTTCACTGTATATAGCACCAATTGGAGACCTTATGAGATCATTGGGCATCGACTTCCATCTTTATGCCGATGACACGCAATTATATGTTACTTTCAAATCAAGTAATCCAGACGATCTGATAGTTGCAAAAACGAAGATCGAAGAGTGTGTCCGTGAATTAGATGAATGGTTGACCATGAATAAGCTAAAGTTAAACAGTGACAAGACGGAGATACTGGTGTTTTCTGCTCGCCATCGTCCAAGTCCATCTTTGTCTTATATAAATGTTTGTGATGATGTCATTGGCCTCTCTACCAAGGCGAGAAATATTGGGATTATAATGGACTCAAATGTTACTATGGAATCACAAGTATCAACCATTTGCAAATCTGGATTTTATTATTTAAGGAAAATCAGTAAAGTACGAAAATATCTCAGCCTTAAATCTGCAGAGATTTTAGTACATGCTCTGGTTACATCCCGACTTGATTTTGGAAATGCATTGTTACACGGACTATCGAACACTGCTCTTGAGCGAATCCAGAAAGTTCAGAATGCAGCAGCACGAATTGTCACATTAACGAGGAAAAGAGATCACATAACACCAGTGCTATTCAATCTACATTGGCTGCCAATCAAGGAAAGGATTCAATATAAGATACTATTGATCACTTTTAAGGCTTTATCTGGACAAGCACCAGGATACATTTCTGACCTGTTGGAAGTTTATGTGCCTAGGCGAAATTTAAGATCATCATCAGATAGGAAATTAGTAGTTCCAAATTATAACTTGGAAACCTATGGTAGACGTTCCTTTAGGGTATCTGCACCAATATTGTGGAATAATCTGCCTCAGAATGTAAGACTATGTGAATCTATAGGATCTTTTAAATCAGAATTGAAAACACATTTGTTCCGAATTGTATATAAGGATTTTATTTAGAGTAATTTTAACTATTTTTAGATCGATTTTTATAGTCTTTTTTACAAAATTTTAAATTAAGCAATTGTTGTATAAATATTGTAAGTTATAAGTTGTAAAGCGCATCTGGACATTTATGGAAGATGCGCTATATAAAGAAACTAATTATTATTATTATTATTATTATAAATAAATTCTTGAAAAAAAATGGTATCGAACATATGCTAAGACCAGATTGTTCAGCGTGATGAACGGATTGAAAAGCTTTGCAATAATAAATATACGTTTTTTTTCCACAAACCAAAACTTATATTGTTTTATCGCCATGCAAAACTACAAAGAACTTAGATGTACTTTTCTCATATTTCGCTGAATTTTCTTACTCCCAAGTATCGACATCTCTGAAAGTAATAATACCATCTTTGAAGGTGACCACAATCTGTGGCTCTGTAAACTTACTAAAACCTCGTATTCTGTTTAGGTATCCTTCTTAGCTTGACTAAGTTTACTTAAAATACTCCTTCGCACTTGCAAACGTTCCTGTTCTTTTTTTCGCCACTTCTCAACCATTTCTTCATACAATCTCTCTTCTCTTTTGAATTCCTCCATGTTCTTGGACGTGAGCCACATATCATACACCAAGCAAGCATCTTCAGGAAATTTCGTTTTAGAATTCAGCAACCATGCCTCATTCGGAACATTTTTTGATTGTATAAGCTCGATAATACTTTGGGCACGTTTCTCCTCAAACCATTCGTCAAACGTTTTCACCCTTGGATTAAGTCTCCGCTGTTCTTCAACTAATGCTTTCTTCTGTAACTCTAACATTGCGAAATTATCTTGTAAAATAGCTTCATTCTGCTTTTCCTTGTTCTTATCCTTAAGCCATTCTCGATACGTCTTTCCAGAATGGGATCTATTCCTTTTGCTGTCCGTTTTAACATTTTCACAAGTTTGGTTTGGCTGTCTCTTTTCAGCTAGCCACTCAGAAAACGTTTTCCCACCTAACAGCGCTTGCTTAGGCCTTGAGTCAGCTTTTTCAGTGATCTGGCCTGGGGATTCCATAGAGGACTCTGCAAAATTGAAGAAAACGTTTGG